GCTTGTTGGATATGTGGCGGTTAGCCATTGGAAGGCGGGGAAGTGTGAGGCAGGCTCCGAGTTTTTATAACATAGTTAATCCCTTCATCCATTACTCAGCATTAGCGCAGGAAACGAGCGCGTGTCTGGAATGCCGCCTGCGAACTTGCATTTTACTCCATAGATGGCACTAGTGGTAAGCGCCTGTTGTTATGCTGCACCGGATGGCTTGAACTATTGCTTTTCAGTCCGGAACATGGTCATATGCGATTGGTGGGCTAATAGAGTGACTACATAATGTTCAATGCAGGCTCTGGGTTCGTTAGGAGACGGAGGCTAGATTGTCATGCTTATTGCTTACATTTTGGATGCGATTGATTGCAGTAGCGGCGAAACACCTTCAATTAAGGGGGCACTGCCGACTTTTGGTCCCATTCTTTCCATGCAACGCCCATAGGGCTAATGTTTAAATGCCAAAATCAAAGGGGGCACGGTGCCCCGGTGCCCTCCCCGCTCCGCCGCCTATGATTGATTGTCACGCGTGCATTGTAGCGGATGTGCTCTGATGGGCGGTGAACCCCAGACGGCTCGGTGTTGGGTCACCGAGCTGCGTCTGTCTGCGGTCAGCGTTCGACGCCGGATACCCGCACTCCTCGGCTCCATTTCCCGCGTGGAAACCGCCATCCTGTGACGAAGCTGTTGTGACCGATGATGTGACACCGCCCTGTGACTCCGTGACGACGGCTCTGTGACTGTGACTACTCTGTGACGGCGCGGCGGTGAGCGCGGAACGGTCACCGAACGGTCCGGTGGTGGCCGCGCCACGGGAACGCCCAGCCACGACCGCCGGACGCAGCGACCGACACGGCTCGGAAACCGCTGTCGGAAGCGCCGCGGACGCTGCTCTGTTAGATTCGCCAGCTCGTGGTCACGCGTGCATGGCTCAGATCAGACAGACGGCTCCGTTGCAGATGGGCTAGCGGTCCGTGGCGAGTCCCGCGGTGATAGGCGGGACATTGACATCTGCTTGTCGAGGTGTAACTATATTTGAGTTCTTTATTTTGTGTGCAGAGGCCTATGGCTGAGATTGAGCTCCGACCACTAAAGCTTTCAGTAAAATCAATGCTGATTTTACCCACGGTGTCGCGTGCGGCGTGGCTCCAAACACGTGTCGGGGCGGTTGGACGCGTGTCCCCGGCTGGTGCCTGCCTCCGGCTGTCCCTGTTCCCTGGTCCCTCCCCCCTCCGTCCCCACTCCCCCTGTGTCCAAACCGGGCGGCACTGCACATGTATGATTCACGGGAGTCTGCTGTTTCCAGCCCATGCGCGTGTGGCTAGCACACGTCACCGGGGCACTCAGGCTGGTTATTAGTGGTGATAGGCTCTACCTGTGTCTGATTCAGGACGATTATTGTGGGCGCTGGACGTGCGGTTTGATCAACTGGCGATTGATAAAGGACATTTGGCTAGCAGTTTATCTTGTCACTTGGAAATCTCTGTTGGATCGAGCTGGAAATCTCTCGATCGCTTTCAATCGTTTGAATGCAGGAAAACGCTGAACCGTTGAGCTGTTTGCCTTTGAGTTGTGTAGCTTGGCAGCAATGGCCGAGTCCGGAAGTTCCGCTCTGGGAACTGTGCCATGAAGCAGTTCCGTCCCGAGTAAAATGGCCGTCCGATGGCCGCTCATGATGCGCAGGGGTGGAGAAATATGCCGAGTTGGGGTTGCACGGGCGCAGCAAATCCGCCGCCGCCCTGGCGGTGACCTTGACCTCCGCCGTCTGGTGCGGCTCCAAAGCCAAGCCGGCGCAGCCGGCGTGGAATTGGGAAGGCTCGTGCTACCCCAACTCGGCACAATTCTCCACCCCTGATGATGCGGTCTGTGAACCGTGTCAGTATGCACCGGATGTTGACAAAGGCTGACATTTTAGTTACTTACGAGTTACGATATAATCCGAGTGCATAAGTAAAACCCTTTACCGGCACACTGTTGTTTTGAGTAGGTAGTTCTTTCTAGATATCGCTCACCGATTACCCTGATTGATTATCCTGCCCAATGATTATCGTGTCTATAAGGGCTCAATGCGATTGGCAAGGCACCGTTGTATTCCAATGCCCAGCCCCTGGTAACATTGGCACCGCGCATTACTGTCTCACCTTTGTTCCCTTCTTATTCTCATTTCCCGCTCCTCTGCGATTGTTGCGTCCACTGTCCATATGTCCACCAGTGTGTCCTGTGTCGTCCCCGTTTGTCCACCTGTCCGTCAGGACGTTCCGCCCCCATTCACCGTGATCCCATAATGACCCGCTCCCGTATCGTACCGGCGTCGCTGTCCCGCTGCGCCCGCTCGCCTAGTAGCGTCCGCACTGCGCTAATCGGGACGGTGGGAGCGTCTGCTCCGATCAGCACTGGCCGTGGGAGCGGTCCGGGCTGGGCCGGCCGGCCGACCGCCCCAGGCGCCGGCCGCGCAGGGCTCGGGTGCAGGGCGAACGCCGCAGGCTCGCTAATCGGTGGACGTTGCTGGATGCCACCCTGCAGACCAGTGCTCGGGGTGATTGTTACGGCTGGTTGGTTGGGAAGGGGTGCCGTGGGGTCGCCGTGCTATACATGGAACAGCACCCAGCGATAAGGCGGAGATTCCTCATGGAATGGATATGTGCAGACTGCAGAGGTGATGGTCAGGCTTTGCTGGCCCAGAATGACCAGCAGGGCTTTATGGTTACCTTCTGCCGGACAATTGAAGTCTGCTGAGCACTTAACACGCATAAGAGGAGAGGCTTTTTATTGGTGTTATTCACACCCCATCAGCAGCATTGTCAACGGATTATTAGTGGCCGTAAATTCTGCTAATTCTTGAAGCAGAATGGCGCTGGTATGTTCGTTGTTATGCATCAGAGAACTGGCGGCCAAAAGGTATTCTTTGACGATCGCGTCCTTTTCGTGCCGATTAGAGCCTATGTGAACGGCCAACAACCTTAAGACAACCCACAAAACACAGACTGGCTATCGTGACGGGCCGTAAACGGTCGCCGTGTGCCCATTTCACGGTCTACCACGCCCGGCTCGAGCTGGCGTGCTCCTCTGTGTTGACTAAGTGACAAAAGTGGCGCGGAACAACACAAAAAGACGATCACGGTGAGACGTGCTGTGCTCGCGGACCGTGCTGGAAGTTAGCTCTCTGGTCGGCCGGCCGGTCGCCGCGGGTGGTGAGACTGATTGGTCTCTTCCGTCGACGGGTTCTGGGGACGCTTCCTTACACTTCGCCCGCTGCTCGATTCCTTGGCGGTTATCGAGGTGTCCGCTGTTTGATTATGCGAGTTGTATTCTGCCTATGGAGCACACATCCCCTCCCCAACCCTGCCGGTTATGCCCTCCGTTCCCCTAAATTTGACCGATCGAGTTGGACCTCGAACTACATAGGCTGCTTGACGGTTTTCAAGTGTCCAGTGAGGCACGGAAGCGGTCGATTTGTCTTACTTCTGCCGCCTCCGGGTTCTGTTGGGGCCAATAGCCTGTGGTGACACTTTGACAGACCGGAAGGTGGCGTTCAACGATTGTTTGCCCATCGACTTGCCTCCATTTCGCCACAAACGGTAATCTAAGCCGACGTGGTAATCGGTGGTAAATCGGGCGGTAATCTGTGCTAACGGGGATGTGATCACGGGGGTAATTGGACTGGCGCGGCTGTGTTTGACGTCATAAGGTAATTGCTCGCCGTCGGTACTCCACGGGAAAATCGACGGCATATTATAGGCGCAGCTGAAGGTGAACCATTAGTTTGGAAACTTGAGGTTAATGACATCTTGCGATTTAATTTGTTTTCCTCTAGCTGTAAGGGATGAATGACCTGAAGCTGCTCATCCTTTTCACGTATTTCATTCATTTTCATTGAACTGCTCGGGATTGACCGTCACAAATGTCAATCTCATTTGAAAGAGTATGAAACGTCGGGCGAATATCACTGCAAATTCAGAACATCTGCTCTGGGTACCAAGCGTCTTATCGGCCAAAGATGGGAACCATCCATTGACGTCCACCAGTGGGCCAAATTGGCGAATGGGTTCGAGTGTGACCTTCCCCCGCCCGATCCGTTTCACTTCGTTTCGTACCGTTTCGTCTCCTTCCCTTCTAGAGTTGCAAAGTTTCCCTACCACATTACCGGCATGCCGGTATTTTTTCACTACCGCAGGTTTTTTTGTGGTATCTGGCATGTCTTGCCGGTAGCATGCCGGTATTTTTGGTTTTGCACAAAAAAAAATTATCAGCATATGATTCAAACTTTGGACACTAAGAGGAAAATGTGGCATCTCTTGTAGGGGTAAACTGGAATCAACAATGCAGGTTTTTTAGTATGCCGGTAATTTGGTGGTGTTTTTGCTTTGGGCGTGGTAGCATGCCGGTATCCCCCAAAAAAAAATTGTGGGGCGGGGCGGTGCCGGTAGCAGCCTTTGGGGGAAACTTTGCAACTCTATTCCCTTCACTCGGGCGTTGCCAGGCGGCACCGCTCTCTTTGTTCTCGCTCCCCATGGTGACTAGTTACCGTCTGACTCTGAACCTTCTCGCACGGAGCGATCATGAACAGCGGAGCGGTCTCGATTGATGGAGAAAACAAACGCATGGTCAGGCAGACAACGGCTGTGTGTAGAGAGTGGAAACTGAGCCGATCAGTCTGGTACCGCACGGTGGAGAGAGATTCAGAAAGGTGTCGCTGTTGTGGGCGGATGATGAGAGAAGGAAGTTTCGACATTTAGTTGTGTTAGGTACACAGCTACCTCTCAAAACAAAATATCGAAAGCTTGCGATTGCTTTTATGCATACGACATCTGGCTCACGCTGACCTGTTTCTCTAGTCTGTTTATCCTCCTGATCCCTGCCGATATATACTTTGACTTTGCCCTGACTTTGTGTAACATCAGGTGACATACGTCAACCTCAGGTGGCCTTTTGGTTCTCTGATGACCTATTGTGACCTGGGCCGACTACTTTTCTCCTGTGCTGACCTAATGTGACCCGTCTTCCCCCAGGGCACCGAGCGGGACCGGATAGTGTTCACGACCTCTGAGGAGCCGCCTCGTCCCCCTGCACCCAGCCTGCGTCTGGTGGATGGCCCCACCCCCTGGCAGGGACGGGTACAGATCCTGCACAAGGACCACTGGCGCTCCGTCTGCACCAACTCCAGAAAGTGAGTACCGCACTGTGCTATTTGTTACCGTGTCGTGTTGCTGCTGTTTTTTTTTTTTTGGTGGCGGGGGGGGGGGGGGGGGGTAGGCCTGTGGGGCTCATTGATTGGCCAGCCTTTTTAATACTGTGCTCGTTAATTTGTATTTGGATTGGACAGCAACAATAGCGATCAAGAATGCCGATTTTCCCAGCTTTAGCTACATGTCCAATGTCTCTTGTTCATCTTTAAACTGCATATATTTGCCACTGTATCATGCCAACCGGTGTTCTGTCCGTTCTAGTGACTCGCTATGGAGCCGTTGGAAGTCGAGGTAATGGGTGTTTGTTGTGTCTGTGTCCTGTGTGGTGTCCACCTTTTGCTTTACGTGGGCCATCGCTACATTTTAACCGGCTTCGGGCACTGCCAGCTTCCTTATGGCTGATTGCCGCCACCCATATAACGGTGTGCGACTTTCATAACCGTGTCACTGTGTCCGGTAACCCGCCCTCCATCTGCGGCTTTATGTTTCCCTCACGTGACCTGTGAGCTCCACTGTGTTTGCCGTTGGGTGCACTCTAATCTGGGCCTAACTCTGCACACCGTTGTGTGCCGAACGTGCACCTGCCCCTATCGCCCTGCCCTGCACACGTGAGCGGAGAAGGTAATCACGGCCCCGATACACAGCGGTGGGACGCACCGCTCCACTTGGCTCTGTTCCGGTGGGCTTGTCGGCACCGCTCGGCAGGGCGCCCTCCTGTGAACCGACCCTCGACCCGTAACAAAACCGCCCACCGCGACGGCGAGCCCGCCTCCGCCCCCCGCCCCTGCCGCCGCTCCCGCCCTCGCCGCTACCTTCGCCGCCGCCGCTCGACCGCTTCCTCCAACTTCCGACTCCGGCGTGAACAATGCCCGCCGAACGTGCACAGAATCTAGAACAGCTAGTGAGTCGTGCTCATGAGTTTGCCACATGAACCAGGCGCACGGTTTTGATCGAGCTCACGGCTGAGCTCCACGTAGGTCGGCGTGGGGACCCGAGCCCGCTCGGGTCCCCACGGGAACTTGAACGGGCCGATACGCTCGGTTGCCGGCGAGTTCCCATGTCAACGTATCATATATTACCGAAATTGGCGTGTAAGGCGCCATTACCGGTTTGTGTGATAGCGCGGACATTGGCATCTGGAGGCGTTCAGTGTAGTGGTTCGGGATTTAATTTGGCTTGGGTTGCGGTGGGGTTGATTGGGTTTGGATAGTTTGACGGGGCCGGAGCACCTGCTCTGTGGACAGTGTTGACTGCGTGCCTTTTGAGACTCCTTCGGGGCCGACCACGAGTCGACTCGTGATATTTTACCGCTGACGCGAGCAGCTGGTCCGTGAAACCCCACTCCTTTGTCGCTTCTGCTCGTGCCTCGTGGCCATAGTTCGCCTGTGTTCTGCCTGTTGTGTGGCGACTTGGGCACGACTTTCTGCTAACAATCGACACGGCCGGGAAATTGGCGACGCTCGTGCCCGGAGGCTGTGACCTTTGACCTCAGGCCGGCGTGTTTCGCTGGCGTGACTGTGCATTCATTCGGCATCCGTGCGAGCCTCCCCTCCCCTCGCCTCCCCTCCCCGGCCCAGCTGTCCCGTCCCTCCCCTCCCACGCCGTTCGTTTGGGATGTTTTGTGCTGGACGAGCTCTGGACGAGGATTGGCGCGACGCGCTTGCCTTTCTCTGTTAGTTGCGGGTGTGGGGTGTTTGTCGCATTGCGCCACCCGCTGGCGAGAAATGTTTGCGCAGAGTTGGCACCGGGGAGATTACAGGGGTGTGCGTTTGTATAGTGAGCGGGGTCGTTGACCATTTATCTGATAGGGAGGGGAAGGGTAGTGAGGGGGGGGGATAAAGGTGCTCTCCTTTTATCGGTCAATGGAGGAATGCGACGTTTTGAAACTGACAAACTCTGGATGGGGTGCTATCTGGTTTCGTCAACTAGTTTGTTCCTGGCCATAGAAATTCCTTCGTCGTAAAGGGTCTTTGATAACCGATCGGCAGTTTTATGCTTGCCATGTCGCCGTCAGTCTCTACCCAGAAAACAAGACTTTGAAAGCTCGAAGGTGAGGGCTAAAAACATACCTCCAGGCTGCAGTGGCTTGGTTTTGTGAGCTCTGCCCTCCACTCAAACTTTGGCCTCTGGTCTCGCAAAATGAGTGTCGATCCTGCCTGCAGGGCCTGGCCAAAGGACTTTTAAGCCCTCTCTGACCCGACCCGGGTACTCATTCCACGTGCTGTGTGTCTCTCATTACCTCGCCGAGACGTGATCACAACAAGTGCCTCCCCCAGTGATGAACGATAGACGACGGCCTTGAGGTGCTGAACTGTAGCGGGGTTTCGCGGCGTTGGGGAGCTAACCGGGCAGTGTCTTTCGATAGTGAGAGCTCCGTCGGCGCGCTCCATAGAAGCCCTTCTCTGGTAGAGATAGAGAGCAAGAAAGCTCCGTCGGCGCGCTCCTAAAAGCCCTTCTCTGTATCCAGCCCCTCGCGAACCCGTTCCGACTCTGACTCTATCTTTCCGGGGCGATCAATCATCGGAAACACATAGGCCAGGGTTAAGGAATGGGAGGAGAGATAAATAATAACCCATTATCCTTGATCACGTTGAAATAGGAACTCAACTCTACATAACCCAAGGTCCCACTCTCAGACAACAGCGCCCTTCCTAGCTTGAGGGTCATCTCCCACCAGATATATGTATCAATCATTCGTCCATTTATCCATCCCCTTACAACCCTGTCATTCGTCCACTTATACCTCGTAATTTACCAGAGTTGACCATCTCCGGTCCCTCCCCTTTTTCCTAACTTCCCCCGGTGGTGCTAGGGCGCGCAAAGTCGTTATCGAGTCATTGGCCTTAAATTTCATTTAACCGTTATCCCTTCATAACCACAATGCTCCGTACATCAGACAAACGCTTCATAATGCTCACGCTACACAATTAGAGATACGACCCACCACAGATTTCGGCACTCGACCTTCGCCTTACGTGACTTATTGCGGTCCGTCCCATCACCATGTCGAACTACCTACACAAAAACATAAATGTCTTCGGCCAGCGGTTCCGAGACTACGGCTCGCAGGACACTGTGTAGTCCGGTTTCCGCGGGGGACTTATTTGAAATTTGAGACCGGGGCTGGGTAACTAAGGTCCGTCCGGGCTGCCTGCGTCGTCTCCGTATAGCCGCGGTTTTCGGGCCAGCCCCCGGTGACCGAAAAGGGTTAGTCGTTCGTCGGCTTTACACGAATCCATGACTACCAGTTTATGCCAAATTGCCTATAATAAAACGAAAACTAAGCGTATCACGGCCCGCGGTGGGCTTATCTAAAATTTGAAACCGGGCTGGGTAACTAGGTCCGTCCGGGCTGCCTGCATCGTCTCCGTATAGCCACGGCTTTTGGAACAGCACCGGCGACCGAACGGGTTAGCCTCCGTTGGCTTCACACTTATCCACGACTACCAGCGTTATAGGTGCCCGAAGCCCTATCTATCCGTTGCTGGTAGTTAAGCTGTCGTCACAGACCTATCCGAAATGACCGCTGCACGGCCGGAGTAAATCGACTAACAGCGGGGTGGCCAGTACCGACTTACCGCGATCACCCGACTCGCATGCTTTGGTATTTAATGTTCACCCCCGTCCTGCAGCATCACACGTTTCTTCGCGGGACATTACTTAACCGGCGGCATACGTCTCCTCGCTGGGACGCCTGGGGTCCTAACCATCTCCGAAACTACCTACGTCGCTTATCGAATGTCATCCTGCGCTGATCACTCAATGGACCGATAGCGGACCTAACCTATCTTTTAAAACCGGGCGGGGTCACTAGGTCCCTCCGGGCTGCCTGCATCGTCTCCGTATAGCCACGGCTTTATGGGGCCCGCGCCGGCAACCGAACGGATTAGCCTTTGTCGGCTATGCACTCATCCTCAATAATCGATCCTCAACTCGCTCTCACCCTTTCTCTTCACTTCGCGACTTATTGCACGTATCCAGGGCTTACCCAAGCGAGGCCTACTATTTAAGTGGGGTCTATCCGAGCTGAGCTTCATTCAGGAAATCCGATTCCTCTACGTGTACAGTCTTCAATTCCATTTCACTCGCTTCTTATCTCCCTCCTAACCCATGGCCGCGTCGGTGGACTTTCCACGCACAGGGGCGTGACGTGCATCATCTATCTCCCCGGTTCCGTCCCTTGCAGTGTCCCCAGTGTCCATGTGGGGTAAAGTTACAAATATTTCGTGTGCGGCAAGGTCTATGTGTGCTCCTTATATTCGGACCGCTGGATAGGGTAGAGCGCCAGGAAATCCGCTGGCGAGGGCACTTGGGAGTCAACCGGAGAAGCTCCAGTATCGGTTGGGCTAGGGAGGTCCCGTATGTGTTGTGTATAATCGCTATCATTTGGACCGTGGGATAATTTGGGGAGGATGGAGTGCCAGGAAATCCACTGGCAAGGGCACTTAGGAGTCAACCGGAGAAGCTCCAGTATCGGTTAGGCTAGGGAGGTCCTGTATGTGTTGTGTGTAATCGCTATTGTTTGGACCGTGGGATAATTTGGGGAGGATGGAGTGCCAGGAAATCCACTGGCAGAGTTAGTTGACCGGCTGACCCCGGCCCAGTCGGACGCGGGTCGGATCGCTCCGTGCGCGCGGGCTACGACTGGTGGCGGTAACCGGCCCACTGTGCTTAGTGTGCGCGCGCCCGAGGCGGGTCAGGATGACCAAAAAGAGAAAGGCCGGTTCGCCGGCACAGAGTGGGCAAGGGAACCTGGACTTGAGTGATATGTGTGACGAACTTAAAACTTTCATCGCGAGTGAGAACACGAAGTGCGTGCGAGAAGTGAAGGAAGCAAATGATAGGCGCATGCAGGCGGTGGAGGACTCATTATCGTTCGCCCTCGACTCGGTTACGGCACTGTCCAACCGACAGAAATCAGCGGACTCCGAGCTCATGGAGCTGAAAAGGGAGACGGCAGACCTGAAGATGAGACTGCAGC